TCTTGCTGTCTTTCTTTGTCAAATAAATAAATAAAATCTTAAAAAAGAAAACAATAATTAAAAAAAATTCCAGCCTGACAATCTTTGACTTTGATTTGAAGTATCTATTCCATTTATATATTGATGTAATTATAGATGTGTTTGGATTTAAATTTACCTTCTTGCTATTTGTTTTCTACTTGTCTTACCAAATTTGTTTCTTTTTCTCTCCTTTCTTGACCTCTTTTAGAAGCAAACCAAATGTCTATCATTAAAGGACTAGTTGAATGTATCATAGGACCTCCAAACAATGGAGTGTATGCAACTGTAGAAAGAAGAAAGAGAACTATCTTTGTGATCTCCAGGAGATATCTGTCATCTATCATCTATCTCAGTTGGACACTTAACCGAATGAGCCACCCAGGTGCCCCAGGATATATTTTTATACGGGAGAGGTGATGAGATGTGTATATATAGTATGCTACAGTTGGTTGGAAGAAGGGTGGGGGGAATATGAATATATATGCACACATTTCCTTATATTAAAAAAATGGAAAAGTAAATAAAAACTTTTTAAATTAGCTTTTTGGGTGGAGTTCACACTCCCTAGTACTCAGATTGTGGTCTCTAAATACCAGCTCCCACTAAAAGGAACCAGGGGTCCTTGAAGAAATGGTTAAATCCAGGTCTGGGACAGGAAGTGTGCCAGATGAACCTGGTACACCTTATCATTTCAGGAAACAAAGAAGTATCAAAGATAACCAGTTATGTTAAAGGGCTCAGGAACCAACCTATAAAGACTTTATAGGAACAACCTATAAAGGTCAAAGGTGGGACAACATTTGAACATCAATAACATACTCACTGTAATAAATTTGAAACACATTAAGCAGTTTAAATGCATGAACTCAATGACACTTAGCAAACAAACAACTGAATAATCAAAAACCTCATTGGTCACCTTTGGAGTATCCTAGGGAATGAACCATTCCCCAGGGTAGCCCAATAGTTGTTGGGCAGTTTCTTTTTATGGGAATAATCCAATTTATAAATGAAGGAATTACAGATTATAGAATATTACTGTTTTGCAACTCCTATTGAATTAATAGATCTAGGTAATGATCAATAGGTGCTTACATCACAAAAAGAAAAATCCAGACATTATGTGCCTTCCGATAGAAGAACACAAACCCCCTACGAAGTATTTTTGCCAAAAAATTGAACTTGAATGGGAATCAAGCCTATTGTGTTATCATTTTATAGGAAATACATGAACGCAGAAGAATATTAAAATATCTCCCCAGTTAACGAGCAAAATCGGGATTGTAGGAAACTTTGCAGGTCAAAAGACCCAGTTTCTCCAAAAAATATATTGAAAGAAATAAAAGAGAAATGTCAGGGGGGTTTATGGATTTTGAAAAAGAGACTTAAGTGACATATCAATTAACTTCAAAGTGTAGAACTTGTTTGGATCCAGACTCAAACTGTGAAAAACACAAAGAAATTTACATCAGGCGGGAAAATCTCAACAATTCACTTGATTTTTGATAATATCAGGACTTCTTCATTTATTTATAGTAGGCTCTAGGACCAAGGTGGGGCTTGGACTCGGGGCCAGGAGATCAGGAGTCGTATTTCCTACCCCTGAGCCAGCCAGGCGCCCCAGGACTTACTTTTTTTTAAAGGCAATACGGATACGTCACTGTGTTTAGAAAGAGTCATCTTTAGAAATGTAAACTGAAGTGTTCATAGATAAAATAATATGATGCTGAAATGTGCTTCCACATCACGGGGGCGGTGTGTGTCGGGGAGGGGGCCGTGTGGCGGGCTACAGATGGGAATAGAGGATGACAGTGGAAGCTGGTGGACAAGAACGAGTGTACACGTGGAGACCCAGGAGAAGGCGGAAGAATTCTTGCACGGCGATGATGGTAGCTGCTGTAATGGCAGCCAACGCAGATGCTTGAAGAAACCGCGTCAAGTCCCTCAGTCCCTGAAAGCTAAGCTTCCTAAAGCAGCTCACTTGGAGGCGGCCTGGTGTGCAACCTAAAGCGGCTTGCGGACGCCTTGCCAACCCTCGGTTCCCGACCTCCGCTCCCGCCGCCGCTTCTCCTCCTCTCCAGGGGAGGGCGCTCAGGGGCGCTCAGACGCGGATGAGCGGAGCCACTATGACGCGGAGGTGCGCATGCGCCGCGGAGGCAGCGGACCACAATTCCCGGGAACGCCGGCGTGCCTGGCCCCGCCCAGTGCCCGACAGTCCCTTGACAGCGGGGCCCCGGGCTTGTGCCTGGGCCTCCTCGGGGCCGCCGAGCTGTTTGCGCTGCGGGCTCCCGAATCTTAGCTCAGGGTGGGGCAGCTCTTGCACCGAAGGCCGTTTTGAACGAGTTTTAGGTCCGAGCCCCTCCCGCAGCGGGGGGGCTTTGTCCTTTGGCTATCACTTCCCACTCAGCCAGACGGCGGGCCGTCCCCGGGGGCGGGCGAGGGGGACCCACCCCGCCACACGGGTGGACTTGCAGCCCCTTGAGGCGGGAGTACGTCGGACGCCGATGAGGAGTGCGGAGTTTCGGAAGAGCGCCTGGGCCCGCTTAGGTAAACCTCTCAGCCCACATGGCCCACCTGCGGGGTGTCCACGGATTTCGGACGGTGGGGAGAGGCGCACAGGCGCGGCGTGGTCGGCAGAGGGCAGCAGTGCTCGCGCAGCGTTCTCCGCAGCATCGACCGCCTGCTTCCTCAGAACTAGGGTCCCCCGGCGCTGTGCCTCCGTTTCCCCTTCGGAGCTCTCCCTAACTGACCTTTACTTCCGGACGCTCTCACGCCTCCCACACATGCCGTGGGCGTTGCTCCTTTGGTCATCTTGCCTGGTGTTCGGCTTAGCCAGCAGTCCCAAACCCCCACCCCATAGGGGTGTATCTGCATAGTTGGCTGGCTTGTTCTAGAAAGGGGCAGTAAAGATTTCAGGTTTTGAGGTCTCTCTGTTTCACACCTTTGCGATTGTAGCAGGAAAGCAGCCAAAGACGATACTTAAGTGAATATGGCTGTGTTCCAATAACACTGACACTGAAATTTGAATTTCATGTGTCAGGACATATTTCCCCCAACCATTTAAATGTATTCTTCTCCAGTGTAAAATATGCATGAACATAATGACCCAGGTGTAGTTTTTAATCAGTGGACAGTGGAGTGAGAGGCTTACTTTTCAACCTCTGGGTATAGATCATGGAATGACCTAAGCTTTTTTCTTCAGGGAAAGATCTACTCTGTTAAGCTTGGAACAGGCAACTTCATTTGGGTTTCTGTCTTCTCTACATGGAAGCTGTAAAGGTCCCCAAATTCGTGGTGGGACAGTTCCAGTCTTCTACACTGGAAAGGACAGTATTGGGAGAGGCGCTAGGCCGAGGGCTCCAAGGGCTCCAAGCACCCCTGCGTATTCCTGCTGGCCCTGCGGAGAAGGGGAGGTCTTGTTATTCACCTGGGCCACTTCTCAGCCTCCTGTTGACAGCAAGTGAACTTGCAGGGTGGTAGTGGCAGTGAGACAAAGAGCACGTTTGCTTACAATTAACCATAAAAGTAGCCATTCCCCCAGGCTCAGTGTTGTTTTCCTGTAAGGCAGCCCACTGTGGGTGCTGGAATTCATCCAGGCCCGCCTGGGGTCACCCTCGTGCAACTTGGGGTGGGGGTGCGAGTCAAGAGTAATTGGCTCAGATGTGAAGTCTGGCTGCTTTTGCCATGAGTAATAAAGTTCTTTGTCTATGACCCAGGAGTCTGTCTTCTCTATGAAATAACTATAGGCTAGCTTATCATCTTGTAAGGTAAAATCCCAGACCCTTTAGAGTTCTGGACATGTAAAAAATTTTTTTTGAGAACAGAATCTTGATTATTGTGTGAAAGTTCCTGCAGAGTTGCACTAATCAAGCATTTATTTACTATGTGCCAAGTGCTGTGCTTGGTATAGGAGGTACAGAATTGAGTATCATATAGTCTCTCCCTTGTTAGGAGCATATTCTTCAGTAAGAAACATGGCCATTCTTCTGCAGGTCTTTTTTTTTAACTTTTATTTTTTAAAGTAACCTTTTCCCCCAACATGGGGTTCAAACTCACAACTCTGAGATCAAGAGCTGCATGCTCTACCGAGCCACCCACGTGCCCCTACCCATGGTCCTTCTTGATGCTTCTCCAATCCCTGTCCAAATCATTAGCAAGTCCTAGAGACTCTACCTTCAAAATATATCGTGTTGGGTCACTTCTCACCGGCTTTGCTGCCACAAACACTATTTCTCCTCCGACTCTCTGCAGTAGTTTCCTGCTTCTGCCCCTGCCGCACTTTAGAACGTTAGAGTTACCTGGAGAATTGAAGAAACACTGTCTCCATCCTAAATGAAAGAAATCCCTATCCCTCTGAGGGGGGCCCCGGCATTGGAAAAGCTCCCAGGTCATTCCAGCTGCAGCTAAAAGGAGATCTGCTGTTGACAATGAGAAGGTATTGTAGGGTTTCAAGCAGATGGCGACACACTCCAACGTTCTACTTCATGGGTAGTGCCGTTGTGTGGTGGCCTTGAACGTTCACGTGACTTCAGGTGTGGTAAGGGGCGAGATCAGGGGCAGGGTGAACACTTACTTGGTTATGAAAGTCTAAACACGAGCTGATTAAAAGCCTGAAATAAGGTTGTGGCAGTGGGGATCTAGACGAGATGGAACATTTCTAGAACACGCAGAAAGTAAAACCAACAGACTATAGCTAGAGGTGAACAGAGTGGCTTCCAGCCTCCCTGCCAAAGTTACCATGAATTAAAAAAAAGATTCTGGGGGTCCAATTTGTTTGAGATTAAATCCCTGAAGGTACTTTTGAGATAGGTGACAATATTGACTGTGCAGTTCTGAAACCTGGGAAAGATCTGGGCGGGAGACCACAACTGAAGTGGGGGTAGAGAGGAGCGCATTCTTTGTTGGGCTATTCTCATTTCAAGATTTGAATTTAAGAAGCTATCTAGGAAGGGAGACAAAACAAACTTTCAACGCTCTAATCTCATCAAAATATGTAATTTTATAAAGTTGTACGTACATAGTTTGTGCTCTGAATTTCCATTAGCGTTAATTTTACAGAAAGAATTCCACTAAGTGTTGGAGCCATGGGTTCCAAACCCTTGTTCTGTCGCTGTAGGACTACAGGACCGCAGGCAAGACACGTCAGCCTCATGGGCATCACCTTCCCTATCCATACAGAGGGTTGGGGACTCAGTGTTGCTTGCAAGCTCACACACGTATTTATACATATCACTAGAGTGCACATGCTTGCCATTTTTAATGGCTATAGTGTTCTAAGGGCCTAATAATTGTAGTGAAATACAGAGCCATGAACAGAATAACAGAACTAAAGAACTAAGTACATTTACAGGCACATGCAAGTGAACTGATACCAGAAGCTATAGTTGAGGAACGAAACCTAACACACTTCAAGTTCTGAAGGCTAAATAAAAGTTTAGCAAGAAAAACTAGCACTTGGATTTGCATGAAACAGATCCTAAGGATTCAGATTTAGGTCTTATCAGAAACCTGCTTTAAAGAATGTGATAGGAAAGATGGGAGCTTATAAATATGTAAATTATCAAGACATGTAATAGTTAAAAAAACATTCTAGGTATCACACATTAAGTTGCTGTCTTAACTGCTCTCGAATTAACCCACCTGCCAAGCTCCCTTACATCTGCGGGCCTTGGCACAAGACCTCATGTGGCTGCACTTGCTTTCTAGTATACGCCCAACACTCCCACCCCCTCCCCGAGGCTGCGTCGTTGGCCCCCCCGTCTGTCCCAGCAGGTAAGTACATCTCCTGCAGAACTGTATAACTGATGCAGTGCATGCGAAGAGCTGCCTTTATGAGAACTCAGGTGAATGGCTGGAAAGACGCAGAGGCTACTCACTAACACCTCAGCAGCAGCAAGCACGCCTTGTGCCCAGACCTTGGTTTCTAAATAGTTGCCTATTTAGCCAAAGATTCCTGGAGAAATGGCTCATTCCATACCTGGGGCACTGGACCTGAGATAGGTCAGAAGGAAACGAAGTCCTGAAAGGCTAGAGAAGAAGGAACGTCAAAGACACCTGAGCTCCTCGAAGGGTTCCAACTGGCCAAGTTTGGGACAGTCTGAGCTACAGAAACAATGGCCCTAACTGATTTTTAATACATGAAATCACTTGTCATCCCTGCCAACCCCTTACTATGGAAACAAATTCTTAAGGAAAAGAATTTAAGTATGACCTTGACTCTAGCGCATTCCCAGTTGATGACAGAAGGCTCTGCTTTACGGAAGTACGCATCAGTAAATGTAGAAAATTGCCATTTGGCAAATCTTGATGAAACAACTGATTCAGGGAGTGATCATCACTGGATACTAAAACTATCAGGTGGAAACAGACTACCCATATCTTCACACTGGGAAGATATGATGGTTACCATGTCAACTGATCAGGTTTCACATCACTGACAGTCAACCAAATGTTAGTAAGACTTTTGATGTGATGCAAGACAAAACACATCCGTGAAGTGTTAATGTTCAACATGTTGAACCTGAGGCCAATCAAGGCTTTGGCCCTAAATGCTAGTTTACAGAAACCACAGGGGACACAGGAACAAGCTAAACCACATATAAACCATCGGTTAAATCCTGAATGTGAGACATTCTACAGCTGACCTGCTATATTTATAAAAAAAACAAACAAACAAAAGGTCCTGGAGAAAGTCAAGAGGTGGGAGACATTTTGATAGATGGAACAGCTGTAACGAGTAAACACAATGTGTGAAACTTGACAGCATCAACAGGGAAAATTTAAACATGGACGAAGCATTGGGGATTTGAAAATTACTATTCTTTTTTTGAGGTATGTAATGGTATGTGGTTATGTGAAAATCTGTCCTTATTTTTATGAGATTCATGCTGAAATATTTAGGGGTGAAACGTCATGTCTAACTTTCCAATTGTTCAGTTAAGTTTTTAAAGGTAGGTGGTAGATACACAGTTCGTTTTATTAACTTTTCTGTATATTTCAACACCTTTGTAATGAAGTTGTGGAAAATAAGACTGCTAAAAAAACTTGGATTACATGTGGATCAGACAACTGTAAAAGTGGGAAAAATACACAAAGATTTATGATTCTCTACTATTCTGTTGTTTTATAAGGGCATCAGTTGCCTCAGTGTATCAACGGAAGACTTTATAAATGCATTATTTACAGAAAACTCACAAAGGCAGGAAATACAAACTAAAGCAAAGAAAGGCGCTATGGACTGTGATACTCCACACATTCATGCCAGGAGGAGAAAAAAAATTGTGTAAGGTATGAAGTGGCATTATAAATAAAAATTGCATCTTAAATACAACGGTTATTTTCTAACACGGTAACTACGGCATACGCGTTAACCTGATTATGCAGCCTGAAGACAGTCTACACTCTGGGAAGGAGGGTTCCGACATCAGGGTTAACTGATGTGAGGACAAGGGAAAGCAGTAACTTTTTGAAGAAAACACTCAACAAGAAAGCCTTGAAGATGCTAGCACCCCAGGTCTCTCCTTCGGCACCTGTTTGTATCAACAGTAACAACCAAATGAAACTGCATGGTCACTATATGCTTAAATTGGTATTTACGGCACCAGAATTTGTATCAATTTTTCTTTACCCAGGAAAACTTCCCGTGCAAAGGTGTCCTGTAATTTCTTTAGGAATATTACCCACTGTTATGATGTGGGATTTGGATTCTTCAATTTTAAGAAGTTCCTATTACCCAATAAATGACCGCTATTTTGCTTAGTATTTCTTTGCACACATGCACAAAAAAGAATTTTAAATTCAACCAACTTCACTCCGTATCTGTTAATTCTACCTTACTACTCAACTCTAACTTACCTCCTTATTCATTAATTCAACAAACATATATTGACCACTTTCCATATGCAAGGCACTGAAGAAACGAATAAAGAGCAGGATGAAATCTCAGCTCTCAAATATGGTCTTATATTCTGATAGTGGAATGCTGTGGATACTAGTATTTTTACCTATTTCTATTTGCATTTCTGCCAGTTTTCCTTTTTATGTTTAGGACCCCACAAACTTAGTTATTGTTTAATGATTATTGCATCAATGATAGTTTCTGCATCAATGCTTTTTCCAATGTTTTCTGACATTTTAAGAATAATCCCCATTTTTCTATGTATGAGAAAGTACCAATTCCAATTATTCCTTTAACATCAGTCCCTTCATTTTTAGTTCCTTAACAACAGGCTGAATTTGTCTTATTCAATTAGCCACTCTTACTTTCTTAGGTAAAGCAAGTCTAACAACAGTTCATGTTGTAAGTTACCTGTGTATTCTTTCTTCACGGCTAAGTCTTCACCCTTTTTTTCCCCGACCCACTTTCTGTAGTGAACTTTATTTTCCATTAGTGATCTTTTCCTCACACTTTGTAAATAGCTGCTTTCACCACTTCTTTGTCTTGGGATATGGGGTCACATTTGGCAACCCAGTTTAGTAGGCTTCTTAATGCTCATTCCGTGACATGTCCTTTGTCACCTTTCACTACTTTAGAAAGCTTTTTGTTGCTCAAGTTAGCTGTGGTGTGCCTTGAAAGGATCCAATTAGGAAGTCTGGGCCCTGAGCACAGCGGGCACTCAAGAAACGTGTCTCGACAGAAGTGGGCCTTTGATGGTAAAACAGCCACAGGGGAACCTTAAGTTACGAATTTAGGACCCAGGTGGAAAAAAATGGGTATTTTATTCTTATTTTTTCCTTCACGAGGACAGATGTCAAAACCTAGTTAAACTAAGGCTAATACGTTTTAAAGATGAATTTAAGGTGTTTAGTTTTTGCCTTTTTAACTCAATTTGTACAAATGTCTAAGGGTTATATATACATTAGTTTACCCTAACAGGTCATCTTTCCTTAAGCTCTCCTTGAATATTTCAATGTTTAAAGGAAAATGTTAATTACCAACAGCTGTCCCATAAAAATTAGGATACTTTCCACTATATATATATTTTGCAAACCTACTGGCTCCACACGGCAGTTATGGCATAACGGGAAAAGGGAAGGGAACCCTTTACACACTTAAGGCTTCGAAGCTGGGAAGAAATAAAGGCCTGAAAGCAGCTTTTTTCAATTATCCCAAGATTACTCACTAACGTGAAATCCCTACTTGATGGAAGCTTTCCCAAGTTACATTCATAACGTCTCATTAAGAAGTACTTGAAATACACTAAGATTGATGAGTTACAGATTTTTGAGTACTCTTACTTTTACAGGGTTTCTTTCTGGAATGAATTAAACTGATATCGAATAAAGGTTAAGAAGTGAATAAAGTTTTCTTTTTAAATTTCACATTAAATTTAAATAGCTTATATCCACATTACTAATTCTGATACTTCTGCTGAGTGATACCTAACATATATTGCACTTCTTTGGGGTTTAACAGAGTACAAAATAAGATTTGAATGAATTGTAAAACCTAACTGAAGTCTCCTGTACTCATTAATTATGATGTTTGGCACCTGTATGAACACGCTGATGCTGAATGAGGTTTGTACTCTGGGTGAAGGTTTTACCACATATACGGCATGCATAGGGCTTCTCTCCTGTGTGAATTCTCTGGTGTTGAATAAGGCATGTTCTCTGGCTGAAATCTTTATCACATTCATTACATTTATAGGGTCTTTCTCCAGTATGAGTTCTCTGATGTTGATTAAGTGATGAGGAGTAAATAAAAGCTTTCCCACATTCATTACATTTATACGGCTTCTCTCCGGTATGAATCCTTTGATGTTGAGTAAGATTGGCACCCTGTCTATATGCTTTCCCACATATATTGCATTTGAAGGGTTTTTCTCCATTATGAATCCTTTGATGCTGAGTAAGGTGTACACTCTGGCTGAATGCTTTCCCACACACACTGCATTTGTATGGTTTCTCCCCCGTATGAGTTCTATGATGTTGAGTAAGGTTTGCACTCTGGCTGAAGGCTTTTCCACATATTTTACATATATAGGATTTCTCTCCAGTGTGAGTAGTCTGATGTTGAATCAGAGTTGAGGAATGAGCAAAGGCTTTTCCACATTCGTTACATTTATAACACTTCTCTCCAGAATGAATTCTCTGATGTCGAATAAGGTAAGTACTCTGACTAAACACTTTCCAACACTCATTGCATTTATATGGTTTCTTTCCAGTATGTATTTTTTGATGTTGAAGAAGGTGTGTACTCTGACTGAAAGTCTTCCCACATTCGTTGCATATGTAAGGTTTTTCACCAGTATGAACTCTCTGATGATTAATCAGCGATGAACTGTGGCTGAAGGTTTTACCACATTCCAAGCATTTATATGGTTTTTCTCCAGTATGTGTCCTTTGATGTATAGTAAGGTGTGCACGCTGACTGAAGTCTTTTCCACAGTCATCACACTTATAGGGCTTCTCTCCAGTATGAATTCTCTGATGTATAGTAAGGTGTGCACGCTGGCTGAAGGCTTTACCACACTGGTGGCATTCATATGGTTTTTCTCCAGTATGCATTCTCTGATGTGCAATGAGGGATGAGATATGCCTAAACTCCTTCCCACATTCTTCACATTCATGAGATTTTTCTTTGGCATGGGTACTTTGGTGTTTCACGAAGGACGGGTTTTTCCTAAACTTTTTCCCACACACGTTACATTTATAAGGCTTCTCTCCAGGATATATTTTTCTATGAACAATACCATATGAGACATGATTGAAGGTTGCCCTGCCTTCATCATACATAGTTTTATTATCTGACTGGGTACCAAACTGAATAATTAGGTTTGAATGCTTTTCAAAATTATTTCTATATATATCATATTTACTAAGACACTCTTCCATAGGGTCGTCTTCTTTTGAGAGAACTGACTTCAAGGTGAAATTTCTTTCATTAGCAGGAATTTTCCTGTAGGTATCTGTTGCTTGCCTCTCTAATCTCTCATTGTAGTCATATGGTTCTTCCAATTTGATGGTCTGAGTTCCAGTCTTTGTGAGTTTAGAAGTATTTGTAACTGGAGTACACTCTTGGGCTTCTGTTTTCCATTCTGGGATAAAAAGAATATAGAATATAAAAAGTTTTCCTCTATTTGGAGAAAGGAAACTGCCAAAACAGAAGGAAAATACCGAACATGAATAAAATGCCTAAAAAGACTATGGCTCTGACCACCTCATAACATGGTACTTTAAAGCTTGGGAAAAGAAAATACAGGGGCAGAAAACCAGAAGACCAAACTGCTGAAAAAGGAGAGGGTCCTCACTACTCAACATGGGCATAGATGAATAAAATAGGTTAGGTCAGGTGACTAGACTAAGAGATGTGAAAACACCATGGAATAATTTGTATAAAGCAGACACTAACTCTCACTGGACTCCTTCCAACCTACTCTGCACAATCCACATAATATTCAAAAGCAATTTCAAGGAGTGCTCTCCATGCTTAAATACTCTAGTAAATCTCTCATCGTAAGAGTTCTTAAAGTACAGTCCCCAGACAGATGATCTGGGAATGTGTTAAATTATTGGTCCCCATACAGACAAGCTGAATCAGGAACTCTGGGGGCTACTGAACCAGAAAAGACTCCAAATAGCCAAAGGAATGTTGAGAAAGAAAAGCAAAGCTGGTGGCATCACAATTCTGGACTTCAAGCTCTATTACACAGCTGTAATCACTAAGACAGTTAAGTATGGTACTGGCACAAAAACAGACACATAGATCAATGGAACAGAATAGAGAACCGAGAAAAGGACCTTTAACTCTATGGTCAACTTATCTTTGACAAAGCAGGAAAGAATGCCCAATGGAAAAAAGACAGTCTCTTCAACAAGTGGTGTTGGGAAAACTGGACAGCCACATGCAGAAGAATGAAACTGGACTATTTCCTTACACCACACACAAAAATAGACTCAAAAATGGATGAAAGACCTAAATGGGAGACAGGAATCCCTCAAAATCCTAGAGGACACAGACAGCAATCTCTGTGACCTTGGCTGCAGCAACTTCTTGCTAGACACGTCTCCAAAGGCAAGGGAAACAAAAGCAAAAATGAACTATTCGGACTTCATCAAGATAAAAAGCTTTTGCACAGCAAAGGAAACAGTCGACAAAATCAAAAGACAACCTACAGAATGGGAGAACATATTAGTAAATGACATATCAGATAAAAGGCTAGTCTTTAAGATTATTAAAGAACGTATCAAACTCAACACCCAAAAAACCAAACAATCCAGTCAAGAAATGGGCAGAAGACATGAACAGACATTTCTCCAAAGACAACATTTAATGCCCAACGGACACATGAAAAAATGCTCAACATCGCTCGGCATCAGGGAAATCCAAATCAAAACCTCAATGAGATACCACCTCACACCCCTCAGAATGGCTGAAATTAACAAGTCAGGAAACGACAGATGTTGGCGGGGATGCAGAGAAAGGGGAACCCTCCTACACTGTTGGTGGGAATGTAAGCTGGTGCAGCCACTCTGGAAAACAGTATGGAGGTTCCTCAAACAGTTGAAAATAGAGCTACCCTTTCTCAGTCTTGGTGCTCTTTGGAGGGAGAAAATTCTCCCCCTAAAATACGTAACCATAAAATGCCCCCTCTCTTGTGGATTACAGCCCCAGTGCACGCTGCCTGAATGACCTAAAAAACTCCTCAGGCTCAAATTAAAGGGGTCCCAGACTTAGATTTCTTTTATCACCATCCATGGTTCTTCCAGAAGACTATCCTGACTCTCGTCCAGGCTCATTTCCATTATGTCACGCATGTTTCTTCAGTGTCTAGAGTGTGCCAAAATCATTCCACAAAGAATTTACTGTGCTACAGGTGTATCCTGTGCTACAGGTACATATAGGTCATTCTGCTATAAATTATGAGAAGAATTAAGAATTAGGTTTTCCAAGTAGTATTACCCAAGTTTAGGACAACTGAGCATGAAAAACAACAAACAAAACAAACCTGGAATTAGTGGACTAATACACTGAATTTTGAATTTCGGAAAATCCCATTAGTCCATAGTGACATGTTCACATAAAAAAATGAGGTGGGAGGAAGAAAAACTATTCTTTACAGGAGAATGCTGTTAATCCTTTAGAAGAGATGACTGAATTAAAAAATCACTATCTTGCAATCAGCAGTATAATAAAGCAAGAACCAAGAATGGATGCTACAAATCCTTAAATAAAATAGTACCAGGGAATGGAATAGTCATGTGGCCTCTGAGTATCACTCCACAGATTACTTACTGATTTTAAAGAAAAAAATGCACCTTTAAAACGGAAAGATCTGGTCAAAAGCACCTTAACTTTTAAAATGAGTATCACCAATGATGAGACGAGTGGCAATGGACAGTACACACCTAGGATGCCTTTTTGGTAAACATACTTCATCTGACTCTAAACATAAGGAAACAATCAGGCAAATCTAGACTGTGAGTCATTCTAAAAAAACCTGGCCTGGATCCTTCAGAAAATGTCAGAAGGGAAAAGAACAAAAGGAAAAGTGTGTGTGTGTAAAAAGATAAAGCAAAGGGGCGCCTGAGGGGCTCAGCTGGTTAAGCACCCGACTCTTGATTTCAGCTCAGGTCCTGATCTCGGGGTCAAGCCCCGTGTCAGGGTCCGCACTCAGTGGGGAGTCTGTTTGAGATTCTTGCTCTCCCTCTGCCTCTGCCCCACCCCCTCCCAAAAAGAGATAAAGCAAAAGTGGCTAAATGATGGTAGCTGGTGGTTCCAGGTGAAAATTACATAGGTGTTCGATGTACTGATTCTGCAACTTTTTGTAGGTTTGAGTTCTTGTGGGGAAAGGAAGAAATGGGAATAACTAAAAAGCCCCTCAATAAGAAACAGGTTTAGTAAATTATGAGACACACAACAAAATGTGATGCAGATATTAAAAAAAAAAAGAACAGGGAAGGAAGTTCTTTATATCCTCATTTGGAACACTTCTCAAGATATGCTTTTAAGTAAACAAAAGCAAAGTATAAAACTGTGTGTACAGTTTGCTACCATTTCCATTAGAAAATGGAGGAAAAGGGGCACCTGGCTGGCTCAGTCAGTAGAGTGTGTGACTCTTGATCTCAGGGTTAGGAGTTTGAGCCCCACATTAGGGGTAGAGATTACTTAAAAAATAAAATCTAAAAAGGAGAAAAAACATTTTTTTCCCCAAATGATATAAGGAAAGCATCCCAAATACAGGATTTTTTTAAGAACACACACACACACACACACACACACACACACACGTTCAAGAGTTCATTTGACAGAGAGTAAGAGAGAGCACAAGTAGGGGGAGGGTCAGAGGGAGAGGAAGAAGACGACTCCCTGCCCTGATGCGGGGCTTGGGACCTTGGGATCATGACCTGAGCCGAAGGCAGACACTTAACCGACTGAGCCAGTCAGGCACCCAAAAAACATTTTTATATTGACTTTATATGCAAACAGAATACCTGAACAGAAACAACTAGAAACAGGCACCAGTGGTTGGGCTGAGAGATGCAGGAACTGGTGAATGCGCTACAGTAACAGAACATTTGAAAAAATACTTTTTCAAAATTAGAAAATGTAAAGAAAAGAATGAGTTACGGAAGTGGAGGTTGGAGGCTACAGGGGGATTTGTTGGTAAACAGAATGAAAGAAACTTACAAAGAAGAAGGTCTGAAACTTAAAATTTTCAGGACATTCACGCAAGCTTATGAAAGAGGGAGGGGGACACGGCACAGTGAAAGCACCAGACGAAGCGGGGGATGGGACCCAGGGGCCAGAGGGAAGGATGAAATGAGAGACACCGGGGAAATGTGGAACAGCGGTGTCTGGAACTCTCTTCCTGAAGGTGGCCTCTGCAAGGAGGCAGTGCCAAACAGTTCAGTGTTCCTGATAGGCTGGAATGTCTTGGTGGAGAGTGACTTAGCCATTATTTAAAAAAAATATATCTCACTGCACTTATGCTTTTAAATGCAAACAATCTCATGACACTTAATTCTCTCACCTGGACTAGGGCCTTCTAAGATTTCTTTGATCACCATCCATGGTTCTTCCAGTATGGGAATCACAGTTGGTCGGTACACTGTAAGTCCTGTTTAGGAGAAATATAAGGAGTTTTATCCTGGAGATAAACAGCTGTTCGAATTTTATTGCCAGACTTCTATTTATCTGTGAGGACAGACTTCTACCGGAAAACAATGGTTTCATGGACGTGATCTAGTGGGAGAAATAGGTCACTGTACTTTTCAGTGCTAGGATAAAAATGTCCTGCTACTCAGGAGGATATGTGCATAGAGCTCATGGCAGGAGGAGATCCCAGGAAAGGCAGGGAGTGGGCAAGGTGCAGTGTTGTGTGGAAGTCCTGGGAAGCTGTGTGTCATAGTTTTCAACGATCCTTCACTTAGAAACCTTTTATTTGGTAAAAGGGAGAACATAGCCCGAATGGGATGAGCACACTCACCTCTAAGTCCCATTCTTAGCAAAGTGCTTCAGAGGCCAACCCATTTTTAACAACAGAGGAAAGAAAGATGGTGGATAGGCTGGCAGGAGTGGGCGCAGAGGATGCTTACCCAGAGAAACCATGTTCCAGTAGTTCTGTAAGGTCACAGTCTTGTACAGTTCCTTCTGTACGGGACGCATTATCTCCCAGTCCTCCTGGGTGATATCCACAGCCACATCTTTGAATGTCATTGATTCCTGAAACATCAAATATAACTTGGTTCAAGAATTGGTAGGAGAGTGATAACACCAGGGACATGTGTGGTGGGGGGAATCACAGAATCTTGACCTTTAGTAAGACCTTAAAGGTTATCGAGTTAAAACCCTCACCCAAAGTTATGGATGAGCACACTCAAATGGTCCTACAGGGAAGGGTGAAAACACAAGAGTTTGTAATTACGTTTTCAGCTGGTACAAGTATATGTATTGGTGGCTCCATCTTAAAGGAAGGTTTTACACAGATAATGGTTGTGCTTTTCAAGCTCTGCCTTAAGAATTCCGTGTGTTAGGGTTTGAAATTTTAAGATATATCTGTGTGCTCTAAGATGAAATGCAGAGCCCTTCCTTCCTTTTTAAAATAAAATCGGGACTGGGATGCCTGGGTGGCTCAGTTGGTTAAACATCTGCCTTCGGCTCAGGTCATGATCCCAGGGTCCCGGGATCGAGTCCCACATCGGGCTCCCCGCTCAGCAGGGAGCTCGCTTCTCCCTCTGCCTCTCTCGAATAAATAAATAAAATCTTTAAAAACAATTTAAAAAATAAATAAATAAAATTGGGACCGAAACCCACACTGTTCAGAACTGTTACACTTTCAATACATTTCACAATCTGGTGAGGTTAGTATCCCTCTTTGCTCTTTTCCTTCCTTTTGTTTAAAAAAAAAAATGGATTCCTTTTACATGCTATTCTTTTTTTTTTTTAAAGGATTTTATTTATTTATTTGAGAGAGAGAGAGAGAATGAGAGATAGAGAGCACGAGAGGGAAGAGGGTCAGAGGGAGAAGCAGACTCCCTGCCAAACAGGGAGCCCGATGCGGGACTCGATCCCGGGACTCCAGGATCATGACCTGAGCCGAAGGCAGTCGCTGAACCAACTGAGCCACCTGGGCGCCCCTTACATGCTTTTCAAATAAACTTTCTAAGTTCCTTATAAAAATTGTATTGGGTTTTGACAATTACATTGCTTATAATTTAGGAAGAACAATTTTACAACATTCAAAGCTTCTTTCACGTCTTATAGTATGATATAGGACATGGAGGTACTATAAAATTCATACTATGTTTAGTCCTAGATATTTTAAATTTTGGGGGTGGGGAAAACTATTCATGGAATCTTTTATTTCATCATCTGCCTAATTTTAACGTATATGTAAGAAAGTTATTAATTTTCTTCTTTTTTCTAAAAGTAAGCTCTATGTCCAACATGAGGCTTGAACTCATGACCCTGAGATCGAAGAGTTGCATGCTCTACCAACTGAGCCAGCTACCCTTGAAAGTGATAAATTTTCATATGCCGTTTTCTGTAGTAATCACCTTACTCAAATTTTCTACTACTGGTTCCCAGTTTTTCCCCTGATTTTTTTTAGGGTTTTCAGGTAAACAATCATACCATTTACGAATAATAATTTTACTCTACCAATTTCAGATGTATATGTTTACAGTAAAATTTTCTCTTAAGATGGCCTGACAGAGGGGCGCCTGGGTGGCTCAGTCGTTAAGCATCTCCCTTCGGCTCAGGTCATGATCCCAGAGTCCTGGGATCGAGCCCCACATAGGGCTCCCTGCTCCACGGGAAGCCTGCTTCTCCCTCTCCCACTCCCCCTGCTTGTGTTTCCTCTCTCGTTGTCTCTCTCTGTCAAATATATAAATAAAGTCTTAAAAAAAAAAAAAGTGGCCTGAAAGAACATAGACTCACGATCAACAGTAACACCACAAAACACATGGCCTTTAAATTATTTGTTAATGAAAAAATAATTTTAGCAATTATTGTTTATTGATGGTTTACTGTAATCCAGGCTAACCACAAGTCTCAATGTTTAATCCTCACAATCTAAGAGGTAAATTCTATTTTTATTTGAGGTTTAATCAATCAGGCTAAGTGTGGTCAAGTATCTTGCCCCCAAATCATAGGTCCAGAATCAGGCACCAAACCTGATTCATCCGGCTGTGGTGGTCAATCCCTTAACCTCTATGCAGTTGCTACCTTAAAATCAAACAGTGAAGAAAGGCGTATCAGGGGAAGGAAAAAGGAGCCTATTTCCTATAAAGGGCAGTCACTTCTCTTAACAGGCCAAGATGGACTTAAAGACAAAAACTGATGCTTAAGTCCTAGATTGGGCTTTTGGGGAGACAGAAGTTACAGGGCCAGGACATACAACGTCCTCACATAAACACCTCCAAGAAGCCATTTTAAAATCACAGAAAAAACTAACACTTACTTTGGTCACCAAGTCATTTAACCACCCTGCCTGGAAAGCAGGTCTTCCTTTGGGGTCTTCCTCTGGGGTCTCCTGGGGAAGGGCAGAGTTCTGAGGAGCAGCTGGGGAAAGGAGACCATGATGGATATTAGTCCTGTTTGAACAGCCTAGGAAACTTCACCAAACAGATGCCTATACTTTCCTAAAGTGAGAAAAACAGCACCCCTACTTTAAAGAACCAAGGGAAGGACCAATGACTTGTCCCATGATATCAATGCAGGTTTCAAAAACAAGTCTGTTCTGGGACTGCTAAGGATATACATCAAATTCCTAATTTTCTACTCAATCTTCGTGTGATGTAAATTGTGTATGCTGTCTCTTAATAAGGAAATGTGCTCTGGACCCTTTTCTACCTTTTAGGAAGTGTGTTATTGTAAAATCCAATTGACAAAGCAAATGACTTATTGACAGAATGGCTCAAACCTCTGCAGGTGAAATTCCTGAGGGCTCACACGGGGGTAACTGGGTTGTCTGGTCATTGTTTTAGGACACTAGGTAATGTGTGTTTGGTTCCAGTCTGGAAAGGGCACACCCTGCAAGACGGGGTTCATGTCAAAGCCTGTTCTCACTGACTGTGGGGCCCTTTGCTCTCCCCAATTTCTTTAAGGGGCTGCTCTGTGATATGCTGGCTGACTTCTCTAGCCACCCAGGATTCCTCCCCTTTCTGCCCTACAATTCTCACCTTCCTCTTCTAGAATCTGAGTCAAATCCTCCACCAGAGTCACCACTTCCTCACTGCTCTCTGGGTACTGGGACTTCACCCAAGTCCTAACCTCCCCAGGCAGGATGGTCAGGAATTGCTCCAGCACCAGCAGCTCCAGGATTTGTTCCTTTGAGTGAATCTCTGGTCTCAGCCATTTAAGGCAGAGTTCTCGGAGTTGATTCAATGCCTTTCGAGGACCAGCTAGGTCTGGATATGGAAAATTTCTAAAATTCTGTCGACAGGTCTCAGTGTCACGCAAGATTCTTGAAGCAAGGGTTTCCTTCTCAACACTGTGGGGTCCACTCTGAGCCTTGTCCGGCTTCCACATGAGAAGGACTTGGGAGCGTGAAGAACTGGTCATCCTCTTGCACGAGGCTAACATTGCTACAGACAGGAGAGTCAATCTGGCAATATCCTTTATATCTCCAATAGTGAGCCAACTGTTTGAAGTCTCATGCTAGAGCCACGAAGACATTATGTCAAGGGCTGCTGCAGCCAAAGGCAGAACAGGGTCAAGGTAGAGTTAGCAGCCTTAGTTAGAAATTCTGAGCCCAGAACTTGCAGGGAAGGTTAAGAGACCCTGAAACACAAGAATAGACCATAAAGTCAAGAATTCTGGTGCTCTCTGCTATACACATACACAAACAGAAATAGTCTATTCAGTGTGCATAGATAAACACACACAGACTTTACCTTGGTCTTCCTCCCCTACATCCTCAGACTTGTGAGATAAAAATGCAATCTGTTGGGGACAGGGGTTGGGACTGCTCTCAAAAGGTGGTAACAGAAGCAAAGACCCGAATCATGAGCAAAACAACAGATCCAACTTCTAGCTTGTTGAAACAGAAATTAAACTTTTACGGGGGGGTGGGGAGCTTCAGTGCTTTTCGGATGTTACAGAAGCTATAAAGGACTGAAGGGGCTCTCAGTAACACCAGAGCTTATCTACAGGTACTTAGAACAAACCGGCAGGAGAATCCTTCCTAATAAAGGGCTCAAGGTTCCCAGGGAAGCTGTCAAGGAAAAAAGGGCGGACATTCACTTTACCCGCTTTGCATATTGCCGCCAGCCTATTCTAGCTTTTCACTATCTAAGGGCTGGAGAGACAAGCCTGTTGGACTGGAAAAAAGTACAAGAGGCTGGTGTGACCTGAAGCCCTTTTAAGTGCTCCTACAGGAGACAATCCCTCATGAATAAATTTGAAACCAGGATTCCCGAAGAAAACCTCGGAACAGGCCTGACCCGGCGACCTGACACCACCTGACCGCGGGCTCCAGCTCTGAGCCCTCTTCAGGCTCAGTCGTGTAACCAAAGCCAACTGTTTACAGGCCCTGCAGAGGACATGCGCCAGCCTCGCCCGCCGCCTCCCCTTCCCGGTCGGGTCTCCCCAACTCCTCTTCAGCCGGAGGGTCGCGGGTAGCGGGGGAGTGGGGACCCGGCCCGCCGCTGCAGCCGCCACCCCGTGCTCGCCTTCTCCGCAGGCCGCGAGCGCGGACGCCGCGCGGGGACGGGCTGGGGCCCCGGCCTGACCGCGCGGACACTCGCCCCCGGCGCCCTCGACATCATTACCTGTCGCCGGGAGCCGGCGGACGCGCAGCCGGGGCGGCCGGAGAGGCCCGGGGCAACAATGGCGGCGGGGGCGCGGGCGCCTGCGTGGCGAGCTCGGCCCCGCGCTGCAGAGGGGCCTCTGGGTCCGCCACTTCCCTAGCCCGGAAAGCACGACGTGTCTCGGCCAGAAGCCGCACCTTCCAGCCCGATCCTGAGAAGCCCGGCCCGGATCGCACCGCGCCTCGGCTCCACCGCGACCTCGCCTCAGCGCCACTGCGCATGTGCGCACGGGGAACGCTGCGCGCCCGCCGAGCCAATCGGAAGGCGCGCCCCCCCTGCCGCCCGAGCCTCAGTCCTTGGACCTGTCTCCATGGTAACCTCCTCCACCCATCACGGCGACTTGCTTGCCAGCCTGCACGGTTCGAAGGGAACTTTAAAGTTTCCCCGGCCAGAAGCAGGTCTGGTAGATGACTGGGAGGTCGGGGAGGGGGATGCGGACGGGCGGCGGTTAAAGCTCCGCCCCAGTTAACCAGACAAAACCCGGTACCAGAGTTCCAGAGGAAGGAGGGGCAGGGAAGATGTGGGTCCAAAGCCACCCGAAGTGCGCTTTCGGGCTTTACTATGCATACACATCTACTAGTACATTTTCTGAGTCCCTCCCCAGGGATCTGGTTCTGACTGGGAAAAGGGATAACATCCAACAGCATGTTGTTTACACAGACACAACAAACCGACATAAAACGCTTGAAAATGAAAGGACAGAAGGACAGAAAAACATTCCAGGCGCTCCTGTTATTTACTGCCGTGTTGGCAGACCACCCAAGACTTAACGGTCTTAGAAAAGCACCACCGTATTATGCTCATGGATTCCGTGGGTCAGGAATCTGGAAGGGGAGCAGCAGGCATGGCTCTTCCCTGCTCCACCGTGTCTGGGGGCCCCGCTGAGATGATTTAATGGCAGGGAGGGTCCATTTCCAAGATGGCCTCCTCAGTCACACGTCTTAATGGGTGAGCTGAGACGGCTTAAGGGTGAGCTCAGCTTGGATTTGATCTTGGTGGCCTTTTCTACATGAAGGACTCAGGCTGGTTGGACTTCTTACATGGCATCTCTGGGCTTCAAGAGCAGATATTCTACTGAGTAAGAAAGAAGCTCCGTGGCTGATGACAACATAGCTTTGGAAGTCACCTAGCATCACACCATCACCCACTGGATCAAAGCAGTCACAAGTTGTGCAGAATCAAGTAGAGGCAAAATAGACTCCATCTCTTGACGGGAGTGTCAGAGGGTCTTACTACTACTACAATAGGCAAATTTGAACAAAAAGAAATTGGGCAGTGTGATGGTCTTTGCTGTGTCCGCTTGGCTAAGCTACAGTCCCCTGCCATTCAGTGAAACACGAATTTAGGTATTGCTGTGAAGGTATTTTGTAGATATCGTTAAGAGTCCACAAATTCAGTTGAATTAAGTTGGGACGATTATTCCTAGATAACTTGGGTGGTCCTGATTCGAGCAGTTGAAAGTCCTTAAAAGCAGAATTGAGGCTTCTCTGATGAAGAAGAAACTCTGTGAACAAAGCTTCTAGCCTGCCCTTCCTGACAGATTGCCCTATGGATTTTGATCTTGCCCAGCCCCCACAATTAAGCCAATTCCTTGTAAAAATCTAGTACATATGTTCTGCGTCTCTGGCTGCACCCTGACTGATACAGGTAATAATCCTAATAACTGACAAAATGGAACTTTTAAACAATCACGAGGGAATAAATAAGTATGGTATCCACTTATAAAAAGAAAAATTGACAAAGACTATATATATCCACCATCACTCTATGTCCCTAACAATAAGGCCTCCGGAGATACTAAGCAATAACTGATTACTGCAGGGAGTAAAACATAAATTGACAACTGAAGCTGGAAACTTGAACACGCCCTCTACAATACACTGTGCTGGGCTGCCAGGATCCCCTTTCAGGGCTGGGGCACCTGTTCCCTTGGGGGCTAGTGTGTTTCACGGCTGAGAGCTCGTGATTATGTCCCTGGGAATTGTCCTGGCTGAAGAGAGCTGCCTCTCACAGATGTCTTCTCCTCCCCAGGGCAGTCCACATTCAATGGTGTCACTGCAGAGATTCAAAGACCTTGGACCTCTTGCTTCAACGTGCAGCATCTCTAAAGGGCTGTCCTGGCTTGAGTTCCCTGTAGGATCAGATGAGGCCTCTGTTGCAATCGTACAGCATTTCAGCTTTTTCCTGGGGCCCAATCCTCCTTACGTCACTCCTTTACCATTACTTTTCTAGAGAATACTACCTAACAATACCCCTGTAGAACCCCAAGACTCAGGACGGGACATTTGGACTGATACAGGCAAACACCTTGAAACACTAATCCCTCTGAGTTCTCCGAGCCTGCAAAAGTGGCCCACTCCTTCCAGTCTTGCTTGAAGATGATGCACACAGAAGCTTCTCCTTTGCAATAAGACCTGTGCCCCTCTCAGGAGCTATTCTTTCCTTCCCTCCTGATCATTAGATCAATTAATAGGGTCAAGTCACCACAAAACCCAACAGGAGAAATGCTGGTCCTGATAGGGTAGGATAAGGAATATTCCCTGCATTTGCTGCAGGCCCTCGCCCACCTGTATCTGCGGGAACAGGAGTGTATGGGTCTGGATCCTGAGGACGCTGGATCAAGGAGGAGAGAACATATAGTGAGTACTGGAGAATTTCTTGAAAAGCAGCACAGGCATGTACGGTCAATTAATTTTCAACAAAGGAGTCAAGAACGTACAACGGGGACAGAACAGTCTCCTTAACGAATGGTGTTGGGACAACGGGACAGCCACATGCAGAAGAATACAAGTGGACCACTATTCTACACCATACACAAAAATTAACTCAAAATGGACTAAAGACTTGAACGTAAGACCTGAAACCACAAAACTCCTAGGAGAAAACATAGACAGTTAAGTCCTTTGACACTGGTCTTAGCAAAGATTTTTTTTGGATTTGACACCAAAATAAAGGCAACAAAACCAAAAATGAACAAGTAGAACGACGTCAATCTAAGAAACTTCTGCACCAGCAAAGGAAACCATCAGCACAATGAAAAGTCAACGTAGTGCATGGGAGAAAACACTGGCAAATCAGATAAGGGATCGATAGCCAAAATATATGAGGAATTAATACAACACAACGGCAAAGAAACAAACAATCCAGTTAAAATTAATGGGCAGAGGACCTGAATAGACACTTTCCCCAAGAAGACATCCAGACGGCCAATAGGTATACAAATAGATGCTCACCATCACTCATCATTAGGGGAATGCAAATCAAACCCACAATGAGATATCACATCACACCTGTTAGAAGGGCTATTATCAAAAAAAAAAAAAAAAAAAAAAGAAGCAAGCACTGGCAGAGGATATGAAGACAACACTTGTGCCATGTTGGCGGGAACATGAACTCATGTAGTCACTATGGAAAACAGTTCCTCAAAAAGTTAAAAACAGAATTACCACATGATCCAGCAATTTCACTTCTGGGTATTTACCGAACAGAAATGGAAACACTACCTCAAAAAGATATATACACCCCCATGTTCACTGCAGCATTCATTACAATAGCCAAGACGTGGGAGCAAGCTAAGTGTCCATCAGTGGATGAATGGATTGAGAAGTTGTGGTGTATACATGTATGCATGTGTGTCTATTCTATACATAGAAAACAATGGAGTATTTTTCAGCCATTAAAAAGAGTGAAAAAAACCCCCAAAGAGTGAAATCTTGTCATTTGCGACAAGATAAATGAACCTTGAGGACATTATGCTAAGTCAGACAGGGAAAGACAAATACTGAACGATTTCACTTATATTTGGACTCCGAAAAAACAAAAACAAAAATCTGAACTCGGAGGTAGAGAACACACTGGTGGTGGCCAGGGGCAGGGGGTGGGGGTGCGGATGGGCAAAACTGGGTGAAGGCGGTCAAAAGGCACAAACTTCGTTATAAAATAAGTCCTGGGGGTGTGAGTACAGCATGGTGGCTGGGGTTAAAAATACTGTGTTGTATATTTGAAAGTTCCTAAGAGAGGGGCGCCTGGGTGGCTCAGTGGGTTAAGTGTTCGACTCTTGATTTCAGCTCAGGTCAGGATCTCAGGGTCCTGGAATCGAGCCCCACGTCAGGCTCCCTGCTCAGCGGGGAGTCTGCTTGAGTTTCTCTCTCCCTCTGCCCCTCCCAGCCCCTGTGAATGCTCTTTCTCTAAAATAAATTTTAAAAATGATGTATTAGTTTCAGGGGTACAACACAGTGATTTGGTATTTGTATATATTGTGAAATCATTTCACAATAACTTAGTTAATATCCACCACCACATAATTACAACCCTTTTTCTTGTGATGAGAAATTTTAAGATCTATTCTCTTAGCAACTTTTTTTTTTTTAAAGATTTATTTATTTTAGAGAGACAGCAAGCACACCCAGGGGCTGGGAGGGGCAGAGGGAGAGAGAATCTCAAGCAGATTTATCTCAGTTAAAAAAAAAATAAAATGCCCGGGACGCCTGGGTGGCTCCGTCGGTTAAGCATCTGCCTTCGGCTCAGGTCATGATCCCAGGGTCCTGGGATCGAGTCCTGCATCGCGCTCCCTGCTCCGCGGGGAGCCTGCTTCTCCCTCTGCCTCCACCTCTCTCTCTCTCATGAATAACTAAATAAAAAAATCTTTAAAAAAAAAATAAAATGAAAATAAAATGCTGCTTTGTTATTTAAAAAAAAAAAAAGAAGAGGAGCACCCTCCTGTGGTTCAGGGTTTAAATACCCTGGCACAGATGCAAGGAGATGCTGCTCACACGCTGTTGGAAGGACTTTTGGAGGGCAGGAGAAATAGACGGCTCCACACTGGGCAGAAATGCGGAATCGCTTTGGCAAAAGGTGAAAGAAGGGTTATGAAAGGCTGGAAAATGTACCAGCTGACTGCTTCGCGGAAAGGCCTGCAAGACCCTCTGTTGAGATAAAGAGTGTGCTGGGGCGGGGGGAGCAGCAGTATCACCGAGAGGCTCAGTGGTGGCTGTCCGTGCAGGCTGAGGCTGACAGTAGGGGATCTGTCACAGAACTGGGCTTCCTGAGGGTAGCTCTTGACCTTCGGAAACATGGTGAGCTCAGTGA